TGGGTTGTACTGGATGCAAAGGATCAGGGAGAGGCAAGGTAAGCCTTGGAGCCCCAGAAAGAGGTTGTCAGCCCCAGAAAGAGGCTGGCGGGTGTTGCAGGATCAGGAAGCAGAGAGAGGTGGGGGCGGGGCCGGTTCTAGAGGCAGTGCTCCTGGGGCCCAAGGAAGGCACCAAGCCGGTGTGGGTGAACAGGGTCAGGAATCAGCAGTGGCTCCCCAGGTGTCTGGGTCCCCAAGACTAGGAATGGCCCAGGGCCCAAGCTAGGAGTAGAGAACAGCGGAGGAGATGGAAGGGTGATTGTGGCTGGCGGCGTCAAGGCGCGTAGCTCTGCATGGTAGACTTACCCCCAGAGAGGCCTGAGGGAGGGAGAGCGGGCCAGGAGTGTTGGCCAGTGGTGCAGGTCCGCGAAGCAGGGAGAGGTGTGGGCGGGGCCAGGTCCCCCAGAAGCAGTGCTCCTGGGGCCCAAGGAAGGCACCAAGCTGGCCTGGTCAAAAACGATCAGGAAGCAGCACCAGTTCCCCAGGTGTATGGGGACCCAAAACCAGCAATGGCGCAGGGCCCAAACCAGGAGCAGAGAACAGCGGGGGAGATGGAAGGGCGAATGAGGCCGGGGGGAGTCAATGCTCGGAGGGCTCCGCGATGGATCCACCCCGAGAGGCCTGAGGATAGGGTAGAAGCTGTTCAAATTTTTAAACGTTAACGAACCATAAAATACATTCTTGTTTTGAATATTTAAGTTTCTTTTGGACTAGAAAGTCTAGAGACTTAGATATGTGTAGTAGGAAAAGGTCAGGCTAGAGTTGAGAGAGGGATTAGGAAATGGATGGCAAGAAATATAATCAGAAGCTTGAAAAGTGGGTAGTTACCACCTTTTTATCTGTATAGGCCTAGTATATCTTAACATTGAGGCAATATTCCTAATTGCCAAGGATATAGTTTCGCTCTGTCTTAGGTTTTTGTTGTTGTTCTTAATCTTTCATTGATTCATATTAACTATTCATAATTTATGGAGAAAGAAGTTTAAGTAAAAGGTTATGGTTTTAACTTAATTTTATTTCTATACAGTCATGGCCAGAGAGATACCGCACAAATTCTTCAACTATGAGGAGCCAAATATTTTCCAGATAAAAATGGA